TGGACAGACTTTTTCTGCCACTAACCTTTTAAAGTTATGAGCTATTAATGGCTCCTATTGCTCCACATTAATTATAGAATGCAAATAACTATTAAAAAAGTATGTATAAAACATCTACTTGAACAAGAAAAATTGTAATAATAGAAGTTATTATATTAATTGCCTACTTTAAGTCTCTAATAATTATATAAGGAATATCTTGCTTTAGAGAAAATAATTGTACTCTTCACATGTTAAGGAACATGTGAGAAAAATTTAGTCCTGATCTGGCCATCAAAAGTACCAAAAATCCAAACTTAAGAAGTAGCCCTAAATTGCATTTCGAGAAAAACGCATTTCAACAGCAGAATTGAAAGGTCATCTGTATGGCAAAGATGAGCTTTCTTAAATGATTTCTTCCATTACGAGAGCTAGGGAATCATGGTTGTTTTGAGCATGTAGCTTTTCTGAACTACTCATGCAAACTACAATGACAAGCAGGTGACAATTTCCTGGGGACTCCAGACCAGGAGTTCTTTTTACTCCTTATTAGCCACCCTGTACTTTTTGAAGACAATTGTAATCTACTTAGAGTTGCTAAACCTTGATTTTTTTTTGTAATGAAAGTAGAGAAACTAAACTTGTTAAAGCATCACAAGTAAAAGGAGAAAATATGTAACTTTAGAAAAAACTTGAGTAGGATCTCCCTTCAAACAAGACAAATTTGCTTTAGTATACGAGTGTCTGTATGTTTCCTATATGATAAAGGACCCCTGACAGAGAAATCTTAGTTTATGACTTTATCGCTCTTATTAAGAGGTGAAACAGTCGAGATATAATATGGAGCAGCAAAATGTTACTTTTGGAGCACTAAATTCTAAATTTTGAGCAGGTTACGGGAAAAAAACATTCATTTTTTATCATGAAATACCAAATTTGAACAGTGTAAAAACGGGCCTACATTAAAAAAATATGTATAAAACATTCAACATCTCCTAAATAGTGCACTGTGAACATGAGCACTGCTATTTCAATGAAAGTAGCATTTTGAACCACCTCACTAAGCAAACGATAAAGTACATATTGGCATTTCCTGTGCCTGTCAAATCATTTGACAGACTCTGCAAATTTAAATATCAATTTGCCAAATTTGCAACCTTGAAAGTTGGGAGATTCATAAAACTGATGAGTAGGGGCGGCGAAAAAAAACTGGCGCAAGATTTAGTTTTTTCTTTTTTGGAAGCAGAAATGTCATACGCTGCTTCAAATGATTGCCAGTAGCTTATTTAGACCTCGGTGATTATATTGTTACTCAGAATTCTGTGGCGTACAAATGCATGAGTAACTGAGCAAAACGTTCCACTAGTGCTAACAGCCCCTTCCAAACCTCAATATGCTCTTCCGCCGGGCACTGGTGTACTGCGACGAAGGTTGCTCAGGCAGCATTAGAACCAAAGCCAAGAAATTTTCAGCCCGCTACACCACCACACCACTGCCCCCTTCTTTTTTCTCACCGTGAGGCTCGGCGCCATTTCGGCTCCCTTGCAAGGCACGTTCGACCAAGTAAATTAGCACGCGCCCGTTGGCTCGGCAACGGTACCAGCTATCTATCGCCAGGACCGTGGCAGAGACAATGCAACTTCACGACAAAAATAAATGTTTTTGTGACACTGCTAAGGCAATCAACATGTCGCTCGAAATGCCAGCGTTCGCAGCACGTCGATCGTGTTCGCATGAAGAAAACGCGGCATACGCTTCCAGCTTTAGTTCTTAACAAGGCTTAGACGCATTTTCAGGCAAGGAAATTTACATTTCCCGCAAAGCGTTGGCCGCTACAGCAACGCATTTTTATTGAAGCTCCGTCGTCCCGCCGCCAGGTATCTGCTGCGGTCAGCGGAGTGATAGGCACGAAGCGTTATTTTATCTGGTCGATCGCGTCTCACAAATTTAGGGCGGGTGCCTAGAATTTTCAGTATATTCTAGGCTCTATAATTCAGCTCTGCACGCTTTGACTGATGGCGCAAGCTGCAGGTGGCCGAAGTGACCTGCATTTCTCATCAAAACTAGTGCACCTAAAAAAAAATTTTGAAGCTGGCTGGGCATTTTGACGTAGCGCGGTGCAAATTCAGCGAATTTCGCAGGTTTGGCGCTGCTGTTGCACCTCTGTGCCATTTGAGACCTTGTATTTGGTCATGCTGAAATTCAGTCATAAATGCTCGAACATATCATATAATTAATGTTAGCGAAGCTAACAATTTACCAATTTAGTGTCCAATTTTAGTGTCAGTTCAGAACACCCGCCTAAAGTTGTAACGAACTAGCATCTCAAGTACAAGACCACCAAAGACCATGTGTGCTCAAGCATTGGCGACTTTGACAGAGCAGCTTTCAAACCAGGGCCTCGCACGTGGTGCATAATGAAACAATGAGGGTGCTACGGTAATTAGTTCAGCCAGCATGCCTCCTCAGGAAAAAGAAAAGCATGACTAGTATAAGCAGTAAAAACCACTTTAATAGTAGCCCAACGACAGAGTGAAAGGGGCGAAAAATACTAGCCTTGGTTGGGTGCCAGTTGTGGTATTGTGCGCACCCTGCGAGTCTCATGTACAATGTTCCTTTCTTATAAAGCCTCGCACGGGGACCTTCATCTGTGTCATACTAGTGGCGATTTTGCAAGGTGCTACCAACACAGATGAGCACTCACGCTTACTTTAAAAGCAAATTAAAATACCTTAAAGGTTTGCAGCTAATTATTGGCCAGAAGTGCACATGTATACAGGACAATGGAACAACACAAACTAGAAATTTTAATTTTGATGTCAGGGGTCTTTTAAACAGCAAAGCTAAAATTTACTGTAGTTGACAACTTTTGGACTGATTTCCCAAGACCAATGTGTTTACGAAGGAGCATTACATAATTGTGATGTCAAGAATGCAGTGAGCCAGAGTATTGAGATGTTGTGGTGCACCAACTCTTGGATAATGAAGTTGATTTGTAGAGACATGCAATATAGGACCATATTTGAAAGCATACCAGCACTCAGCAGTATTTTCTCACTCGCCACAGTAATAAATTTTAGTTACACACAGAAAGCCATGAATCACTGTTCTGAATTCATTTTACTGCAGCTATGGTATATTAAAGAAAGATTGAGCAATACCTAAGACCAAAGCAATAATTTGAGCATTTGAGTTACAATTCCTGTAGTACAAGTTTTTTACGAACACCTTGATGGGCTCCCATAAACTACATTCATTTCCTGCCTTCTACGTTGAAGCTTTGAGATGGTAATGTTAAACCGCTGCGTCCTTCATATTCTTCTTATGTGGTGCATTTTAGCTAGTGATGTCACTTTTTTTTATGTCAATCCTAGAATGCGCATGTCTGCTGGATATTTGTGCTCTGCAAGCGTCTGTGACAGAGACAGTAGCTCCTCTAAGGGCACATTCATACCAGAGATTGACTGAGCTCACGCAACCTCAGTCACAAATGGCTGCCTTGTGTGAAAAGTGGCTGTTTTGGTAAGGTCATTCACTAACCGATTCTTCAGTTCCATAACTGGAGTCTCACTGCCGTTACACCAATCAGCGGCACAGCAGCACTACATCTGTACACCTGTGGCGACATGAAGGTTACTTTATGTGGCCACACTTGTGCTAGCAACAAAACAAGCTTAATTCTTTACGGTCCAAAACATTTACCCACTTTCCAGATCTACAGGTCCAGAACTATTTTGCCAGTTTCTGGCACCGCGAAGAAAAGCACAAACTGTGGAAGAAAATCTCACAGGATATTTATTTTTGCTCCAGCATTGTGCAGGCAACTCCCTTAGTGATATTTGGAGAGCGTATGATACTGCTCAAAGCATTCTCTTGGGTTTAGGTAAAGGTTACTCCAGGTTTCGCAGAAAAACAGAGGCGTTGTCTCCACTGCCGTCCTCGTCACTCACTTCTGTCGAATTACTCATCGCTGTCTGGTGGAGGCACGCAATTCTGTTCCTCACAGAAGTCATCCTCACTTTCGCTATAGGCACCATCGTAAATAAAACACATGAGGTGAAAACGTGGCTATGCTTCTCAGCGAACCACATGCGAGTGGGTACGCCCTAGGCTCCGTGCTGAACTTAGTGCTGCACCCTAGCGTAAAAAAAATAAAACTCAACAAACAAAGCTCACTTATTCCTCAAGAGATGGTGCTACATGTATTTTAAAAAATGTGTGCGACTTGCAGTGAGAAAACCATGAAATTTAAATGACGAACATCCTTATTGGGCGGTGCCTGACAGCGCACCACCAAGGCCGTGCAGTGTTGTTGGGAGCGCCCGACAACAGATCACAAAAGATTGGAGAGATGCGATTGCAAGTTTGACAAGGGCGAAATGTGAAAAATAGGAAAGGTGCATAGAGGACGGAGATGAAGTGAAGAAACAAACTGACAGACATAGGCGTTTCCTCACTTCATCCCAGTTCTTCTTGCGCTTTACCTTTCTCCCCACCCCCAACGTATGAAGCAACTAGCTCAGCAACAAGCCCTATTGGCACAATAAGATCACCGTGCATGGCTCCTCAGTGTTTGTGTGAATGCTACTCAAGAAGGGCACACAGCTTCAAGTTTAAATATTCAACTGTTTTTGTTTTTATGCATATCAAGTTGCAGACTATGTCAGTGCATGATCAAATTAGCTATGCTTGTCTGTTTGCAATGCCCAAATCTGATGAGCCAACCTTCGATTTAGATTATCCAAGTGGAGGGTAACAATGGCTTTCTGAACTCAAACTTTATGGTGCACTTTTAGTCCAGTGCAGAGATATCAAATAATGGTTGATAAACCAAAGTGGCGTGGCATTAATGGAGCTGCTAAAATCAGTCAGAAAAGCTAGAAATGGCATAAGGACTCTCACTTAATTACACTGGCTGTCAGATACATTGTTGCACTACATGGCTTACGTTGCTCTTGGGTGTGTTGTAGTCACTTGAGCGTCACAGCTGTAGGCCGGGCCTTTCAAAAGTTTAGACAATGTATCATTTAACATATGTGGCTTTTATTAAGACTTCAAAATTATGACCTAACATCTACATACTTGAAGCAAAGACAGCTCATTGTAAAACACCCAAAAAAGAACTTTAGTACACAAGCACAATTCTCATTAAAACCTTCCAACGATGTGCGACTCTCAGCATATAACGCATGGCAGTCACACTGGAGGGGTAAAGGTGAGGGCCAGAAATCAGACAGGTCCTGTATAATACATACATGCAATAAACCTGACAAGTAGGGATGGGGGGGAGGAGAGATAACAAACAAAAAAAATCCTGTGTCACAAGAACAAAAGAGCTGCACAAGATTTCCCGTTCACAACATTACTTGAAGTACCACACACACGCAAAGCAGCACCCAGAGTCTGCAAGCACAGATGGGGGAATGAGTGAGGTCACTAGGCACTTCATCAACACAGTCTCCAAAATTAGACAAGGAACTCAACCATCTATGCTACCACTGCTCAGGGAACACACATACACAGCACATGCCAGAAAGGCAAACGACAGAGAATATGACCTCTGTGCTTGCAGAAACAGAGTGCTTACCTTGCAAACACAATGCTGAAGTACTGGAAAAATTTCTATCATGAAATAAAACTGGAGCTCGGCACTGCTGTTCTCTAAATTACAAAAAAAAAAAAGCAGAACATACAAACACGCACGCATACATACCAACATTACAATCCCTACCTGCACTCTTCCTCTCTCACTTATATGTAATATACATAATACATGTTTGATGGCTTTGCTTTTCTGCTGGTAGTTGCTTCAACAGTGCGTGCACAGCTTTGTTCAACTTTTTCGCAGCTGCAGCTAACTCACTCACAGCAGGGGGACAAACAAAAGCGTGACCACTGCCCATTTGTGCAGCTGCAGCTAAGAAACACCACAGTACTGAGGGCAGAAGGGCAACAACTTTGAATAGGACTTGAAGAGTATATGCACAAAAAGAAAGTGTACACCACATGTGCACATCACCACTTCACTTAACAGCAGCAGATGTGCACCTGAAAACCACAAGGCAAGTGCACTCCATTGGACATTTTCTGCAATCAGGTGTGACTAGCACAATGTGACAATTGTTAAAAATTAAAATAATGAAATTAATGATGACATTTGACATACAAGAATTCATTTCAACTAAAAACACAACATACTGTACTGAAACACACCTGGAATGAATGGCATGTTCAGCGTAGCACTTAGACCATGCTGATATCAGAAAAAAAAAAGCCAGACAAATATTGTCTAAAAGAATAAAAGTGCCTGAAAGCTCATGTCCAAACAAATTCTAAAAAGGTTTCTAAACAGCATCACAATACATCAGCACCAATATATTGATAATTTCATTGTTCAGCTTTATAAAGCTGCATATCAATTAAACTGAAACCTACCTTGATGAATCTGCGCATGAAAAAAAATTAAAGCAAATAATATATTTTATCTGTTAAGTTCAGCCTCTCACAAAGTAGGAAACACAACCTTATTTTCAAGCAGGAGCTCTCTACATACCGTGGTACAATCGCAGCACTGTCACAATGAGCATTTTTGTTGCAAGTTTACGTAGGTGGAAAAAAAAAAAATTTGCTTAGACTTGAGCATTTTGGCTTCTGCTGAACAAAAATGAGCTGCTGCTGACAAATGCAAGACACATACAAGGCTAAGATGCACGCTTTTTTTTTTTAATACACCCATACAACCAGACACACTTGCACTGGGTGAACACGCTTCAAGTATAATGTGCATGTTGTATACAGTAACGCGTAGAAAAACACTGCACCTTCCACTGTGTCGCACAAGAAAGGCAGGGAACCATAATGGATGTATGCTCTCTCCCTCCTGTGTGTATACAACTCTGATATAATAATAAATAACCCCCTTTGTCTCACTTCCTAGGTAACAAAGGAACCAGCTGCTCACTTTGTCTTGGTGGAAGCTGCATGTTTCTGGATGGTAGTGTTGTGAGAGGAGCAACGCGATGACAGAAGACCCCTGAAAACAGACTCTCTAGCGTGCTGCAGGGAGGACCCAGATATCCTGACTGGCACAGCGACATTTGAGGCATAAAGCAGCACTGTCGCCTTAAAAAATGGAATGCACCTTGGAGTATGCGCACGGACCAAAGGCTTCCTGGCACCCGTGCAGCACAAGTTAATCGCTCACGACTCCAGCAACCTCTTCTTCCCTGACCTAAGCACGCACAGAAAGAACGTACCGCGAGAAGTGTTCGGCAGAACGTCGAGGGACGATTGAGAGTGTAGTAGACATTCGCGAGGATTAGTTCAGGACATTAAAATGGGCAGGATGGGTTTCACTGTAAAAAAGGGAAGGGAGGGGCACATGCGAGTCACATCGGCACGAAGAGAAAATCTCCATGCAACATGTGATGTGTTACAAAAATAACTGCCTAAAACTGAGACCTTGAATCCATAGCTGCCATGTCAGAACATAATTCATAGTTGTAAACTTTAATTACCTAAAACATACTATATTATACTATACAATTTTTGGACAAATAACTTTACAACAAACAATTTCATATACACACACACAAAAAAAAGCTGCACAAAAATTTGGGCAGTTTTTGAATTTCATTCGAGCCTTAAGGCAGGCGAAAATGCTGGCTCAATCACAAGTTGTAAAAAGTGGTGTCAGTGCAAGCACAAAGCTTCAAAACATCTTGTGTTCTAGACAAGTAAATATCAATATGGCAAAAGCATACCCGCAAAGTGTTTCAATTAAAGTATGCATCAACATTATGTAAACATAAATCAAGGGCAGTGGCAATTTCCTCAGGCCATGTGCATGTTTGTGATGGCACTTGGCAACAAAACACAACCTCAAGCATGCATTATTTCTCCGCCAACAAATGAGAATGGTAGAGTTCTCTCTATATGGCCACACTGAAGTGAATTAGTTTAAATATTAATACAAAGAAAAATATAACAATGCTAATGGGAGAGAAATACTGCTGGATTCTGGAGATGATAGTGTCACGGAAGACAGGAGCAACCCAGCTCACTTGTATACTGCCCTTTAAAAGAGATTGCACCACACAGCCGCAGAAATGTTACAGAAAACAAGCACTCGCTTTTGCACATGTGATTATGATGACTGTCAGAACAGGTTTAAAACAAAACTATACACAGAATGAATCGGGAAACACTTCGGAATGGTTTAATGACCAGCCTTAAGGAAGGCACGAGGCAGATTTGGGCATCCAAGTCTCCAAACACAGGGCACGATGTAGGGGCAACTTTAGCTCACACATGACAAACCAAGTCGACAGACTTGGTTATAAGGATATTCAGATGGCACACAAGTATTAAGTCATAACGGCATGTGTACATACATTGAAATATTCCTGAAACGCTAAATAAAGCATGGGTTGTCCAGTCTTCAGCAAGACACAATTTCTACACTATAGCTAAGAAAATCTGCAGCTGTGATAATCAAGCAGAGATGATAATTATGGCAAAATGGCAATATAAAGAACGAGCATATTATATGTGGTATAACCTCTTTGACATTTTTCGATCTAATCAGAACACATGCTAAAATAATAAGATAAGATGCCCCTATCTACCGTGAGCTGTGCAACTAGAGTGTGTGGGTGAATGGCTAATGTGAGTGGACAAGAGAGCAGGTCAAAGTGAACGAAATCAATGACTAAGGGTCAATGAAATGGGGGACAAAGGAACATTTGTGCAAATGAAGCCTAGTCCTCCTCGCTCTCGCCCTGTCCGTACATGTCGGCCAGCTTCTGGAAGCGGGGCCCCCAGCCATTGAGGTAGTCAAAGCGCTGCTCATGGTCGTCAGTCTCCGAGGCCAGGGAGCTGAGTGAGCCTGCTGTGGAGCCACCTCCTTCGTAGGCATAGTTGCGCAAGTCATCTACAGGTGGAGCCCCAGGGTCTTGATCAGCTTTGTCCAGGTGGTCTCGAATGAAGTCACCCACATCTGGGTGGGCCCCGGTGGGTGCTGCTGAAACATGTGCAAAACAGTAGCAGCATTGGGGACATTGGCGCTTACACATGAGACAGAAATTAAGGTTTCATGCTGAGCAGTCCTTTTTGCTTCACGATACAGGTTAGTGGATATATGCCAAGTAACGATTATCAATCTGATAACTATTTTTCATTAAAGCTGCCCTGCATATTATGCGTCAATTGCTTGTTGAGCATAAGCCTGGTGAACAATCTTCTGGTACATATGCAGACGTAAAAGCAAACTTGGTTCCCTCAGATCAAGATTTTCCGTTAAAACTGCTAAACAGGCAGAATACCATTCTCTTATCTGTATAGGGCATACAAATAATACAAAATGAAATACAAGAGTATACGTCTCGGTTAAAAAAAAGGAACGAGCAGTGCTTGGGTAATTTAAATATGTTACTAACCTCCAAGGCAGACAGCATTGAAAGAACAAAAATGAAGCACCAAACACAACTCGCTACTATTGCAGAATGGGCCGTGCATTTTTTCACGATGGTCAGAAAATGTTGCCAATCAGCAGTCAAGGCTCCGGAGACCATATCAACGTAATATTATAGCACAGCACGATGCCTGAAATTTACAATTATTTGTCAGAGTCAGCGCGAAATTACTCGCTCCTCTACTGACAAACGATGCCACATGCCCCCATGACCATGTCATGAACACAAAGTCCACGGCCAATGGCTGCTTTGGGCATCACGAGCTGCATCGTTTGTGCGTCCACTGTGGGATGCCACAATGTGCCTGCGTGCTCCCTCGCAATCACACTAAAAGTAAGCAGCGCATTCAAAGGAGAAAAATAAGAGTGCTCAAGGTCACAGTGCATAGTGGCGAATCGACGTAGCTTTCGTGCCCCTTGTCATTCCCCTCCTGCATAGATTTCAGTGCACTTCCAGGTACAAAAAGAGAGAGAAACTGCTTAAAGCATGCAATAAATGCCTGCAACTTCACTCGAACTTCTAAAAAAAACTTTTGCGGCAGTTCATTCACGAAAAGCAATCAAATTCTTTAATGAAGCCATTTCATGATTACTTCGAAAAATGTTGCAGGGCCGCTTTAAAAACAGAAGAAGAAATAACCTAAATATTTAAGGCCTATAAGAACCTAAACATGAGATTTCAGAAGAACTAGAACAAATAGTAAAAAAAAACAAAGTATTCAATCAAAAATAAGGTATCAGTGATGTAAATGGCTTTTTCCTTTTTGGAGCCACCGTAAGTGTTTCCGAAGCAGGAGAAATGCTCACTTAGAGCAGCTATTGGTGTTTTAAGAACACACAGCAAGATGTGCCACACAACTCCTGGAGTTCAAAGCATCGCCATGATGTCTCATAAATATTTGTATTTATTATGAAATATCCTTCACAGACAACAAACAGCTTAAATTTTGCAAAAAACAAACAATTAAAAAGCAATCTCGGTCATTTTAGAATTTCATTAAAACAACCTGCATGTCTAGTTAAAAACAAAACAGCTAATCGTGCTATGTATATGAGGTCTGTTAGAAAAAAATTTAGCTCAGCTGTCGTTCCAGCCATAATGCCCTCCCTTGTCTGAAATCGCTCTCCTTTCAATGTGCTTTTGAGTTTGAGAAACAGCCAGAAGTCGCAGGGGGCCATATCAGGAGAGTAAGGAGCCTGTTGGACTACAGGAGTCTAACTTTTCACCAAAAAAGTCTGCACCAAGTCCGAGAAATGTGCAGGAGCATTGTCGTGATGGACGCGGCAGTTTCTTGTTAACCACAATTCAGATCTCTTGCGCTGCACAGCCTCACGTAGGCATCGGAGAGCATTTCTGTAATACTTTTTCGTGATTGTTTGACCCTGTGGTGCGTACCTCATGGTGTATCAAACCGCGGGAGTCAAAGAAAGCATTCAGCATCACTTTGACATTGCTCCGCATTCGGCGGACCTTCTTCGGTCTTGGTGACGGGCAATGCTTTCACTGTGACTACTGGGATTTGGTTTCCGGGACGTACCAGTACACCTAAGACTAGTCACCGGTGACAATGGTGTTTATGAAGTTAAGATCACTGCTTGTGAAATTCAGCAGGTCCTGTGAGACATCAACAAGAAGTTGCTTTTGCTCCACTGTGAGCAGTTTTGGAATTAATTTCGCCGCAACTCTCTTCATGGCCAAATCTCCGGTCATAGTGGAATGTGCAGAGAAAGTGCTGATGTCCACCTCTTCTGAAATTTTCCGGACAGTCACAGGATGGTCTCGCATCACCACAGCATTCACTTCAGCAATGACCTGGTCATTTTCAACATGTGGATGGCCTACCAGAGCGTGGCTCCCTCTCCATCGATGTGTGGCCATTTTTAAACCGGCTGTGCCACTCCTTAATCTGTGTGCAGCTGATAGCGCCATCACTGAAAGCAGTCTTGATCTTCGCAATGATTTCCTCTTGGTCGTCGCCCAGTTTCTGGCAAAATTTGAGGCAGTAGCGCTGCTCCAGTCGCTCCATCATTTTCCTTGCAATAAAAAATCGACGAGAGAACTGCACACTACTTCACTTAAACACTGCGCCCCAGTGGCTGACGCTATTGGCAGGTGGCAAAAAATTCACGCATGCGCATGAAAGTTCATGCAAGCGTGCTTATTTGAAATCCATCAGGTGCTCGCAAAAAAATAAATAAATAAATAAATAAATAATAATAATAATAAGGTCAGATACTTTTCTAACAGACATCGTATATGCTTGATACTATACCAGTTATTCTGAAGTAAATGAGCTCAGAACTAATAAAGCTGCATACTTGCATAATAAAATGACAGTATTCTTTTTTTTTTTTTTCCAGTTTCCTAAGGGCTTGCGAGTTATCACATGGCTAAAGTTCCTTGTCTACTTTTTCTCAGTGCCATTTCGAAGCAGGTTTGAAACAGTTACCACCAAAATGACAGTTTGGAGCAGCATGTGTTATGTACTGAAGTATGTATTAACGCAACCAGCATTTTGTGGAGTCATAGAATTGCAAGAAAAAGCGAGAATAAAAATCATCCAGTCTTTCTGAAATTTCTTGACAATTGGGAAAAACAGACACCTTGCTTAAAGCATCACATAAACTAAGAGGTAGTGAGATGTCACTATCCAAAAAATTTCTCAGTGGGCATGTGACATACAGAAGCTTTTGAAGGAGTGTTCTTTGGATGAAAGGCACAACATGAAAGTAAAGTTGCTTTATGATAAGCTTAACATTGACGGGACCTTGTTTGCATGGAATGCCGAACAAAGGCACCAAAGAAAAAAACAAAACAGCAATTGACAAGTGACAATGTAAGCGCAAAGCTGAGCCAAGCCTTTAGGAATAACTACTGTAAACTTCAAGAATGTTAACAGGCATACTGATTCAAAGAGAATTCTCATGTATGTAGGTAGGTGTATGTATGTGTGTGTGTGTGTGTAAGTGTGTGTGTTCATTATATATATATATATATATATATATATATATATATATATATATAGAAATGTGTTAGTCAAAACAAGATACTATCTATCTCTCCTGAAAGCATTTACCCGTAAAACACATACCTATGATAATCAGATTTTCTTTCCACATTCACTTTTTTTATTGAAATTTTATAGCATTTTTTTCTTTTATATGTTAGAAAAATGTCTACTCATTTTTTTTAGTTGCTTAAAGGGGCCCTGAAACACTTTTTGAAGTAACCATGGAATGGACTTTCTACAAAAACTTATTGTCTTACGAATTCAACGCCACGAAAATTTTAAGAATCTGTCTACTACGAGCTGAGCTACAAAGATTTGTCACACGCTGCAAACGCACTCTCTCTCTTCTTTCGTCACGACGAAAGCGCTGGATACTAAGCAAGGAGGAATGGCAAGCACAGAAAAAAAAAAGTTCACGCGGAAAAGTCACGTGTGCCTCGTGACCTTGAGCACTGTTCCCCCCCTCCCCTAATAGGCAACTTTTTCAGTGTGATCGCGCGTGCATGCGATCACACAAGTTGCGGCTTTTTGCGGCGATGCCTGTACCGACCGAGCGTGCCATGTTCAGGTCAGCCAATGGCTGATAGATGGTCTTCTAAGAGTGATTTTTGAGGGTCTTTTGTCATTTGTCAAGAGAACTGAAAGCAATTTTTTGACTTTGACAATTTATTGTGAATTTCAGGCCCCATGCTGCGCTATAATATTTAGCTTGCATGTTCTTGGCAACCCCTACTACTGATTGGCAGCGTTTTCTGAACATGCTCAAAAAGTGTTTCAGGGCCCATTTAAAAGTACCTTTTTTTTCCTTGCAATCCAGTAACTAAATAAATGCATTGCATGCTGAATTGTTTCTTTTCAGATAGCCGATCTAATTGTGCAAGTAAATATTTTTTGCATATCTATAATAACAAGATACACAGAAGTAGGAATAAACTGAAAACCTGGAAAATTCAGCTTTAGTACAACAAGAAACCACATATGTGGACGCTGGGTACGCTAGTTAGTTTAGACTACCGTAATTACTTGAATCTAATGCGCACCTTTTTTCCGGTTAAGCGAGTTCATAAATCGCATGCGCGTTAGAATCGAGTACCAAAAAAAAATGAATACAGTCATTCTATTGCCATCGGCATTTCCGAAATGGCCGCCCCCTACGTGCGTCGGCATGGCACGTCGGCCATTTCTGCCTATGTGTTTTCCATGCGCAGCACTTCGTACGTGTGCCGAGGAGTTCGTCATCTTTTAGTGCATTAGCATCGACGGCATGGAAGGGCCGACTCCAAAAACTCAACGAGTGCACCACGATGCTACTTTTAAAAGAAAAGTCATCGCGTGTGCCGAAATGGACGGAAATCGGGCCGCATCGCGGTTGTTCAGAGTTCCCCAAACGTGCGTGCGGGACTGGCGGAAACAAAAGCAAAAGCAAAAGAATGTCGACAGCAAAGATTCACGCAAAGGCTTCAGTGGACCACAGCAGGGTCGGTTTCCGCAAATTGAAGAGCTGCTCGGCAAGTATATGATTGAGCAGTGAGCGGCATAGCGGCCCGTGACGACAAAACTGCTCCAAGTGCAGGCTATGCAGTTAGCCTTAGAAAAAGGGCTAATGCGGAGCCAGTTTAAAGCGAGCAGGTGCTGGCTAACTAACTTTATGAAGAGGAAAGGTTTTTCCCTTCGAAGGCGAACGGGCATATGCGAAAAGTTTCCGAAGGAGTACGATGAAAAGCTTCACAGTTTTCAGAGGTTCGTCCTAAACTTGCGGCACAACGGCTACTTGCTTGAGCAAATCGGGAATGCTGATCAGACACCTCTTTACTTCGACATGCCTGGCACCACAACCGTCAAGAAGAAGGGGGCGAAGCAAGTTCGCGTGCTGACATCGGGCCACGGTAAAAACTAGAGTGACGGCAATGCTCCGTTGCACGTCAGATAGGTACAAGCTTCCCCCGTACCTCTTATTTAAACGGAAGACGCTCCCGAAAGGAGTCGTTTTCCTGAGTGGTGTGATCGTGCGGGCCAACGCAAAAAATGGGTGCGCGTTGCAATCAATGTCTTAATTTTTGTTTTTTCGACGTGGAAACCGGGTGCGCGTTACAATCGAGGGCGTGGTAGAATCGAGTAAATACGGTATTATCCTTCTTCATTGTGCACAAGACCTTCACCTACTGACAAATATGTTTCAAAGCATTATTCATTATCATCTTCATTACTTACTATAATCATATAATGGGTGACTTCAACATCAGTTCATTCCCTTTATCAGTTTTATCATCCCCGTCATTATAAACATTCACTAAGCCACTTGCCGACTGCTCTGATTCAGCACTTTCATCGTTCATTATGGTTATCATTGCTGCCATAATCTTGATATTCGGCGCTTTGATCCATCATCATTATTACCATTCAAGGCCTATTTACTTGCATACAGCCCTACTTCAATGCGTTTATCATTATCTTTATTAACGTCAAGTGTTCATAGTTACGTTCTAACGAAATGCATTCATAATCAGTGGTAGCATTGTTCAAGAAACCTTTGCTTGTTGATGGCTCTGGTTGAACGTGTCAATTATCACTGCTCTCTATCAGAACATTCTGTTGCTAGTCAACTCTAATCGTGGCACGTATTTCTTCATTACTTTAATTATGCCACAAATAAGTTGTATGCATAAATTCGCATTTACTTATACTACAGATAATGTTTTGCGCAGAGTTGCTTGGAAAAGAAGAGAGTCCTGGTACCATTTAGAGTACTGTCAGTTTCTTACACGAACTCGGTATGCCTGGCGTCCACAAATGTGGATGCTGCAGCGACAATTCAACTTGCAAAACTTTGGTCGTTCACATGCCATACAATTCACACAAAAACAAGATAAAAACTTACTTTTCTCAAATAAAGCTCAATAATTTTAAAATTATGATTTTTTTAGTGAACTTAAAAAAAAAAATCGGCTCAGTATCTGCATGTTTCACTGCAAATGTTGTTGAAAGACGGCAGTCTTGCATCTGGAGAGAGTGAACAAAACATTTATTTCATGTTCTGAGCGAGAAAATCGGTGAATTGTGTTCTGGAGACGCTGCGTTAGCGAATCTCGATTCATGCAGCAAAGGTGGACGAGCGCATCGAGGCACGTTAGACACGAGCGGTATCTGGCAGTTATCTTCGAAAATGAAGGGAGGCGTGCGCGCCTGTCTCGGAGGCGATAAGGCGTAAACAGCAAAGTGACGGGCAGGTGCCACCACCGTGTCGTCTTAGCAAAGTGTTGGACACTTGCCGTTTTTGAGAATTGCGTTGCATTGTCAGAACAGCGTGATAAACGCTACGGTCCTTAGAATTACTTATGTATGCCTTCTCTAGTATAAAGATACACAGACAAAATATTGACGTGTTATGGTGCCTCAGATATGTGCAATAATTGTTTTTCAATTGACAATCGCACAAGTATAAACCCTGAAACTTGAGCAATTTTGGTGGATGCTGCGAATGGGGTTAGCCATTTGAGGTATCGTTATGGCAGACAAACAGACAAATGTATAGACAGACAGACAGACAGACAGACAGACAGACAGACAGACAGACAGACAGACAGACAGACAAGCAAGCAGGCAGGCAGGCAGGCAGGCAGAGCAAAATTTTTGCGTCAGAGTACCCCAAGAAAGACTATTGTCTTTATAAAAAAGAAAAAGGCATACCCCTCTAGAGGTGACTTCAAAAGAACGCCATTGTTCTGTGCACACGTATCACTGCTAACAGAAGTGGACACATAGATGTTTTATGAAAAGCTGAAGTAATGCTAACATTTCAAATGGGTTTTTAAGGTAACGCATTAGCCCGATCCCACTACACTGATTTGTTTTGTCCCCATACGTGGCCGCTAGGATAGAAAGGGTTAATTGAAACAATTGTTTTTCCAGGATTCCTAAAACACAGTTAACTTTACCACATTTTTTATAGTTGTAGTACTGCCAAGTCCGGCTATGTGTCGGAGAATTTTTCAGTTATCACATGCACTTTCCGCAACTGTTACTCTCCAAGGATATCTGCAAGAGCATTACAATGCTTCAATGTTATGTAAGACCTACTGGAAACATGGTCGCAGCAAAAGCTAATGTCAACACAGAAGAAGGTACCCAAAAGCAACAAAAGAAATAGGCATGAACAAACTGAAAAAACACAAACACCCTTGTCCTTTAGAAAAGCAATAAAAAAAAACAGATAGAAAAAGAGAGAGAACATTAAGAGAAGTATAACTGTACTCACGTTCCCGCACACGCACTTCCGTCTGCAGAGTTGGTGCTTTCTCTGGACCAGGCTTAGCACCAATCTGCATACCAGATGCATCAACTGGTATTCGCAGTGGTGTTATGTCATAAGCATTCATGTCGTCTTCTCCACCACCTTCATCATCATAGCTAATGATGTTCTCTCGTACATCATCATCCACTCCACCATGGCCAAATTTCTGATCTGAGCGCCGACTCCGTGTGTATGCCACAATCACCAAGACCAAAACTGCAAATGAAAAACATAAATTAAAAAACACAATAAAACAAATACATTTGTGTAACTGGTAACACCATATTAAGAATGTGCTCTTCTACTTTAAATAACATTTGGGCATGTTGGTATTCCATTTCAGCATCTAGCACACAGTAAATGACAGACAGTGTTAAAACTGACAAGGGTTGTAGTGTCCCCGTCAGTTTTCCCCCTGTCCTTGTCTTTTTCTGTGCTTTAGATGCTGAAATGTTCTGAATTCAAAAGCAATAAAACTGCTACGAAATGCAAACAATACATGAAATGACCTCGATGCCCAATATTACTTATGCAGGCACAGCCTAAAATTCAGCATGTGCCCGATCGCTTTATGCTCCTGATTGACCTTTTTTGAGTCAGGCCTTGCAGTGATAATCATAGTTGGAACTTCGAGTGTAGATGATCATTTGACTGGCATGGTACTCAGGAGCAAGGCAGGGAAAATGCATTATGCTATGGCCATAGGTCGGCAAACATTGTGGAGCTCACTCATGAAATATATCTGGCACTTAAGGCTCACTCAAAAATCTGGCACTTAGAGCGCACTCTAAGTGCCAGACCAGACTCACTTGGACTCACCAAAAAAGACTCACCCTGTCTCCAGTGGTGCAACAGCCAAAATAGAATTTGGACCAATTTTTGGAGCAGCAAAATGTTACTTTTGGAGCACAAAAATTCATATTTGGAGCAGGTTATGGGGAACAAAACATTCATTTTTTGTTACGAAGGACCAAATTTAAAGCAGTATGAAAAAGAAGTCCTAAATTTAGAAAAAAAAAAATATGTACAAACCATTCAACATGCCCTAAATCATACAGTGTGAGTAAGAGCACTGCTATTTCAATAAAAGTAATATTTTGAACCACCCCACAGAGCAAATAATGCTAACATCCACATTAGCATTTGCTGTGCCTAACTCTGCGAATTCAAATGTGTATCTGCCAAGCTGGCGACCTTGAAATTCAGGAATTTTGTAGGGGTGGCAAAAAAAAAAAAAAGAGAGAGAAAGTGGCGCACAGTTTTTATTTTATTTAGGGCGCCAGAAATGTCACACACTGCTCCAAATGATTGCCAGTAACTTTTTCCGATGTCTTCAATCATACTAGTGCTCACAATTATGTGCCATATACACGCATGAGTAATTGAACAAAATGTGCTATCCCGTGATTAGTGCTAACAGCCCCTTCAAAATCATAATACGCTTTTCTACAGGCCACCGGTGTGCTGTGAAGAAGGTGGATTAAGGAGCATTCTGCACGAGTTTAAGCAAGTTTGCTATGCCCCCCCCCCCCCTCTCTATTAAAAAAAAATTTTTTTTTTTCGGGATAGGATTAGGTTTAGGGCCCAACTTCTCATCTCCCTTGCAAGGTGCGTTTGACTAGATGAAGTAACAACGGCACATGCTTGTTGGCCCGACGACCGCACCGGATATCTATCACTGGGATGACGCAACTTCAAGACCGTAAAATGTTTTATGTGTCGTTGCTATGGCAACTAACGTGGTCGCGAGCAACGCCTACTTTCCCAGCACGTCGAGTCTGTTTGCGCGCGGGAAATGCGGCATACGCTTCCGGCTTTAGTTGCTAACATGCCATAGCAACGTTTGCCGACTAGGAAGTTCCTATTTTTCGCGAAGCGTTGGCGGCTACGGCAATGCTTTTTTGCCTTCAAGTTGCATAGTCTCACCGATAGGTATCCGCAGTGGTTAGCAGACCGATGGCACGCGGCTTTGCTACTTTAGCTGGTCGATCGCGTGTCGTGAGTGCCCTGACCTAATGGAAATACAGTGAAAGCTCGTTAAATCACACCTCATTATTCCGAAATTTTGGATAATTCGAAATGGTCGCCGCAGTCCGGTCCGCAGTGAATAGGAGACCATGTGTAAAATGATTTGTTAATTCGAACAGAAATTGATGCCTCTACGGACAATTCGAAGCGCGCGCCGCCGAGCGTCATCATCGTCAAACACTAGTGGAAGCTTTTACGGTCGAATGATAGGTGGCACGACCAGTTTTTTCGAGCTTCAAGTGGCCTCCGAGCAAAGGGCGAGCAAAGTATGGCCTCCAAAATCGAGAGAGCAATTTTTTTTTTTTTCCGTAGCCCTCCCGCTATCTCAGCGCCCGGCGCCACTTGTACGCGGGACCCACGGGAAGCTGAGGAGTCGGCGGAATAGTCATAGTAGTCCTAGGCCGCTCCCGGCAGCGTCACTTTGTTCCTCAAGCACGTTGTTCGTTCACGCCGCCAAGCCGTCTTATTTCGCATCGAAGTTGCAAGATGCCGCGGGGAAACTACTGCGCGAAGACTGTCAAGAAGAAGGTGGAGATTTTGCAAGAGGTTGACCAAGGGAACTCGAGCAAATACGAAATTGCGAGGAAGCATGGCATACCTCCAAGCACGTTGTCAACCTACATATGCAACAGGACGGCCATTGAAAACACCTATGAAGCCGAGGATTTTGGCGCCAGTCGAAAAAGGCTAAGGACAGCGAAGTTCCTGGAACTGGAGTCAGCTTTGATTATCTGGGTTAAAGAAATGAGAGCCCAGAGTATCGCATTGAGCGGCCCTATCATCATGGCCAAAGCAGCCGATTTCGCCCTGCGCTTGGACATTGAAGACTTTGTCGCCTCCGAGGGATGGTTTCATCGTTTCAGGGAGCGGCACAATCTCGTATTCCGCACGTTATCCGGCGAGGCAAAGGAAGTGGCCGCCGAAACATGCGCTACTTGGAGAAGCGACACCCTGCAGCAGTACTTGGAGAGCTACTCACCACAGGATGTGTTTAACGCTGATGAGACAGCGTTATTTTTCAAGTTGCAGCCAGACAAGACGATCACCTACAAGGGAGACAGCTGTGCCGGCGGCAAGCGCAGCAACGAGCGAGTCACTGTTCTGGTCGCCGCAAATATGACCGGTATGGAAAAGGTCCCCCTTTTTGTGATTGGCAAAGCACTCAAGCCACGGTGCTTCAAAAACATTCGCTCACTGCCGACGGAGTACGCCGCAAACAAGAAAGCCTGGATGACAGGTGATCTATTCAGGAAGTAGCTACTGAAATTCGACAGGCGAATGGTACTGGGCGGCAGACGCGTTCTTCTTGTCGTCGACGTTGAGCTGAGAGCAACTAAGTTGGTGTTCCTTCCGGCAAATACGACTGCGGCCCTACAGCCAATGGACCAGGGTGTGATAAGGAACATTAAGTACTTTTATAGGCGTCACGTGCTCGAGAGAATGATTTTGTGCGCGAGCGACAGGAAGGACTTCGGCACTACGCTGCTCACTGCCATGCACATGTTGGTGCACGCATGGGAGGGAACAGGTGACCGCGACTACAATCGCAAACCGTTTCCGCCACAGTGGATTTGCAGCTGGAAGTGCGCAGGATAGTTGTGACGTCGACGTGAATGGGGCTGAGGAGCTCATGCCAGTGGCATTGCGCGACACTTTTCGGGGCGTACGTTTTGCCGATTATGTTGAAGTTAACACCGGTGCATCGGTGTGTGGTGCCCTGATTGATGAGGACATTATCGCTCAAGTAGACGGTGCGCAGCCTGATGCTGAAGAGCCAGAAGGTGAGGAAGACGAAAATGACGAAGCGCCTGTGCACCCGTCAGCTTCTGCGGTGATGGAGGCACTTAATGTGGCGCGTCTCTTCTTCAGCTTTGAAGAGGGTGAAGAGGATTCCCTGCGCCGCGTCCGCACACTGGAACAGAGAGCCGCAGCTGTGGCATTCAGAGAAAAGAAGCAGATGGTCATCACCGACTTTTTTGGCCAATAAATATTTTTCGTGACCCCACCCCCGAAATCCACCCATTTTTGCTCACTTTCAATATTTCGAATTTTGTTTAATTCGAAATTTCTCAGCGTTCCCGTGGAATTCGAATCAACGAGCTTTTACTGTATATCTTACATTGTGGTTTAGGGTTAGGATCTGCGCGCTTGTATTGATTGATGATGCAAACTGCAAACAGCCAAAGTGGCTACCGTTTCTCACTGAAATTAGCGCAACTGAGGAAATTTTGGGCCTGGTCGAGCATTTGGCACAGCATGACCCAATATCAGCAAACTTTATGGTTTTGGCGCAGCTAGGCGCGAAAATGGGGAATTGTATCAAATTGGCACAATTGGCGCAGCTGTTGCACCCCTGTGTCTCCCAGCAGCCTCCTGCGCTCACGGGATGGCCCATATTTGAGTTTCCCCGATCTGAGCTGACCAGCGTGGCTTTCCACCGCTCCCCAAGCTGTTCCGACGACATTTGCGTTCTGTGTTTGCGCACAATCCCGTAGAATATTCTCTAGGGTGGCGTGTCTCACGCTACATAGTTTACACAAGTCATCTGGGCATAGGTCGAAGTAGATCCAATTTAGGTGCACCGGGTTAGGAAATGTTTTGGTTTTAAGTCTCCTCCAGTTCCCCACGCATTATTTCGCTGGAATTCTGGCAAACCATGTTTGTTACTTAACTAATTCTGCTGTTTTTGACCTCTTAATCTTACACCTATCGTTTTCTGTTCCAGTGCACATTGAGCAATTCTAAACCTTTCTGCAAGTTTTTTTCTTTTTTTTTTATGTTATTCTCGAAATTTCAGTTCCGTATGTTGTAACCAGCAGCACGTAATGATTGCGATCAGTGACACATTGCCTTTCATTATTTGGAAATGCCTGCAGCATACACTACATTCTTATTTGCTGGATTTACTTTTAATGAATATCTCCCCGTTCATTATTGACTTAGGCATGTATACTCTTGTACAGGCTTCAAAGGCTCTCATAAAGACTTCAGCATATTTATATTTAGCTATACTTTCAAATTTCGTAATAACAATATGTGGAGTTTCCCGAAACCACCGTATGACTACGAGTGATGCTGTAGTGGAGGGCTCCGGAAATTTCAAGCACCTGGGGTTCCTTAAAGTGCACCCAAATCTGAGGACACGGACCTACAGCATTTTCGCCTCGCCTCCGCCAAAAATACTTTCAAACTTTCTTGATTTAGCTTTTCACACACATTTTGCAATTTGTTGATATCATTGCTAATAAGCACTATGTCATCTGAAAATTGTATGTTGCTGAGATATTCTTCATTAAACCTCATTCCTATTTCTTATGAATTCAATCTTTAGAATACCTCTTTAAGCATGCAGTACTTATGCCATGAACTTCGCCTTATGTTTGATCTGAATTCTCCTCATGTAAATAGCCATTGCAACATTTTTTCCAGAACTTCCCTACAGAACGAAAGCTATTGTTAAAGGCACATGCTGCAAATCACCTGTGACATCTATCACTATTAGTAGCCCCCCCTCCCCAAACAAAAAAAAAAAGTCTCGCTTACGCAGGTACACCACTAGACAGGCCAGGATAATGAGCAGGGCTTCCAGCCCAAGGGCAAGGGATGTGTTGGTCATGCGTGCACCAGCACCAACGTCAAAGCAGCTGCAGTTGTGGCACTCGAGGCTTTCATGGCAGAGGCATGTGTGGCCTTGGCCATGGGGCAGATTGGTGCACTGACCCGTGTAACCACATGGCTCGTCCAGGCACTCGTCCTTGTCCTCACAGTCAAGTCGGTCTTCCGTTGGTGTGAAACCTTCCACACACCTAGTGTGCCCATGCATGCCAGCAACCAGACTGAGTCACATGCTTCTATCACACAGCAGCAGTCAGATCCTTACCACAAACCTTTTCTGCTGCCTGGCCCAGCATTCCAAAAACAGATGCTCTGTCAGTTCGCCTTAAGGGCCACTTGCCCTAAATTACAATTACTGATGGCTCACTAGCGGCCAGTAATGCTTTTGAGAACGTATTGCAATGGGAACAGCAGTGTCTTTGGAAACCCAGGCAAACACTGTAAAGCATAGTGGCTTAGGGATCTTCCAGATTAGCTCTAAGAGGATCCCCACGACAACAATAAAGAGTGGAGCCATGTGGAGCCACTCACTGAGAATGTTGAGCAGACAGACCAGGATGGCAGCCAAGGCAGCCATACTGAGACGCATTATCTTCTCTTGTCGCAAAGCGCCACACAGGTCGCCCCCAAAACCGTCCGGGCATAGGCAGTAGAAGCCCTCGCCATGTGGCCGGTTCATGCAGGTGCCGCCATTGAGACACGGCTCCGTCAGGCACTCATCCGCATCAGTGCAGTTCTTGCCATTTTCCGTTACAGCAAAGCCAGGGGAACACCTACCAACCACCAAACAGCCAGGCAGAAGGGCAAACAAGCAAGCCAGTGGAGACAGGGAGAAAGTGGGCAGAAGCAAAATATGAAGGGTACAGGTGGAAGTGGGGGAATGATACAGAACAAAAAGAACACAACAGCAGAGAGACACGGACAAAGAAAAAGAAGATAACGAATAGAGGATGAAAAGCGGGGCAGAGGAAATGGCCAGAATAGAAGAAAAAAAAAGTAGGCGTTGTTAGTGATCAATGTTAGAGGTTAGAAAATACAAAGCTGATCGTCCTTGTCTAGAGCACTAGTTCCTTGAACTGGCACAACTATATGCTTTTCCATATGCCTAACACAATGTGTTCACAGCTGTGGCGTAGCCAGGGGCTGACACACCAAGCTCATGCCCCCTCCCCCTATAATTATTTTTTTCACCATGGCATACAGAGCATAAAATGACCATTTGCCTGCCCCACTATAGATGAAAGAGGTGCCCCCAACTATCCCCCGAAAAAAAATTTTCTGCCAGTTCACAAAGTAGCAAAAAAAAACATTTCAAAAAGAGAGAGAATATCCCCCTTCAAAAGGGACAGGCCGTACATTACAAGTTGTGCTCTAAACAAGTACGACTGAAGGTGTGCATGAAAGGGTCAATGCATCAGGTAAACAACCAACAAATTTTCATGATAGCTATGTGACGGTGGAATGAACTATTAAAAGGACACTAAAGTGAATCAATGAATCAGTATAGATTGCCAAATCATACTCTAAAACTGTTATTATTAATTTCACTATCCTAAGCTCATTTATACAAGAAAAAATAAGGGGAAAATTTCACTTTTTAGCTTAACGCCAAAACCTGATCGAGGATTTCAAAAATGTGACGATACAGATTTCAAAATGCTATATTCCTATTTTGGCCAACAAACTTTTCTGAAACTTTGTATGCTAAAGTTTTTGGCTACCTCAACGCACTTCATATTTACCAATTAGAATTATGCAACTGCTAGCAGACACCGTCATAGTATGTGATGTCATGACCATTGGTGCAGAAACTTAAACTTGGCCTTGCCACCAACATTTCATTATTGTGCGTTTTCTCGCTTACCAAGAAGTCTTCTCACGACAAGCGTGGCTATTTTGGTATTGTGACGCAGTAAATTACTAATATGAGAGAGAACTAATTTTTCTCTTCTGTGTCCCTTTAGGCATAACTACAATAAAAAAAATAAACAGAAAAATAAAGGTTGGAAAACTTGGTATGCATAGGAGCTTCATAATGTTTATAGTATAAATGTAAACAAAATTTTAAATGATTATCTGTGGCAGATAACATATGCACAAATACTTATACAAATTGACAATGCAGGAGGAAATTTTTTTCCCAAAAATTCAGCTAAATTCTAGCAAATTAAAATTTCAAAGATAAATTTAATTAACAAAAAAAATGTGAAGATGGCTGGCATTGGCTGCGACAGATGTTTGTTGTTTCTGTTTATGTGTATCTGGGGTTTTGCACCTTAAAACAACAATATGATTATGAGGGATGCTGTAGCAGAGGGCCTCAGGAATTTCGACCATCTGGCTTCTTTAACATGAGCTGACATCACATAGTACAGGGGCCTCTAGCATTTCATCTCTATCAAAAAGAGACTGCCGTGGCCTCGAATTGAAATGACTCAATTCGAGCTAAGTATCTTCAAACATCAATTAAAAAACGATCCATGCTTTATTAAAGTTGGTCACTTCACAATGAAAGGATCATTAAAAATATTCTAGCCATGACAAAGCAATGCTTGTTCAGCATTTCAGTCTGGCTTTCATCAGGTGCCAGTCATAGTATTGTGCCCATGCTATAAACTAGTGAGCGATGTCAGCACCATCACTCATAGGAGATCCCCTATCCACATCGCACTAGTGGCAATGCCATGAGGTGCTGCCAACTCTGAGAGCACACACCCTCAATTTAAAACTCAAATAAAATAACTTAAAGGCAATGCTTGCCCTAAATAATTGATAAGAAGTGCCCACGTATGCTGGACAATTTAACAACACAAACAGCTCAAAGTTTTCATATTAGTGTCAGGGATTCTTTGAACACCACAAAAATGTACTGCTTTTTACAATAATTATGAAATTATTGTAAAACACATAATTTTCGTAAAAGGAGTTTGGTTTGGTTAGTAAAAAACCAAAATGTTAGTGGCACCACCAGCATATACAAGCAGCTTATCAGTGGTTAAAAATGTTCTGCAGGTTTGTTAAAAGCGAGCACACCCGGCATATTTTGCCATAAAAGTGGTAGATTAGTAACACAGCATAAAAATTATACCTTCTCAATGATGGGCAAACATCTCTGCTTTTGGGAAACACGATGTAAAATAAGCAGCCAACTGCAATTCATGATCTGTTTGCTCAATTCAGTCCTCACGATAACTTGCACTAATTAGGAGGTACAAATAATTGCTACACAAAAATTTGTTCTAAAGTAGTAAGAAAAGAATGCCAACACGTCATTCTTCAAAACAGTTGAACACAGACATACAATTGCTTGCGACATACCTACACTCTATCTTACTCATAGCATGCAATGTTGAGGCTAGCAAGATTTCCAGTAGCAGAGTTTGTACCAAAAAATATTTCATTGATTGATATACGGGGTTTAACGCCCCAAAAACACCATCATATGAGAGATGAAAGAAACAATTCAGTCTCTTTTACAAAATATTATGTGAAGCATAGCTTAATTCGACTAGGGAAATAAATTAAAAAAGATTTAGATAATGTCCTGCTAATGTGTTCTTAGTAATTGCACTTCTATTATTGGTCCTTGCACTATGCAACACTGTGTATCATCATCATCATGGCACTTATGCTTATTGCTTTAATTCCAGAGTATATTTTCATTTGCAACCTGTGTCACAGCAGCTTCACTGAGAGCAGGCTTGCACAAACAAGCATATGCGACTGCCAAACTTGACCATAAGATAAGTGGAGTGATGTCTTGATAAATGATTGTTCTCCGTTGGTTCAAGATTGCATGTAAAATTTGTAAAGTATTACATGGAATGGATGATACTCATATGGCAATAAATGGATATAGTATCTGAGCTGGCACATTTTCAGCAGTTGTTTCTGTATTATAAACATTATATGCCTACTTGGTGATGGTACACTAACCAATGAAACCCAAACAACACACACTGCTACCTATCGCCATACACTGCAATAAAATATCAATTTGATTCTATGCCACAAAAAAAAATATAATAATTTAGACACATTCACTGACCCCAGCAAACATGAACATTATGTAATTGCACCAGGCTCTTGTCAACTCGAATATGAAATATACCCATAAAGCACCGAGTGCGAAGGGCCACACGACTGTGAGAACAGTACTAGTGCACAATTAAAACGATGTGATATAGCATGCATCTTCATGGTTGTAACCATGAATGTGTGGTAAAAAGTAAGCCACATGACTTTGTGCCTATTTCGAGTTTACTATGATGTTATGGCATGCCTCCAGAACTGCATAGTGACCATCTGTGATTGCACTCCTATCGATCTAGGGTACATACACAGCAGTTGTTGAAAATGGTTGCTATTGTTTAGACATGTGCATATAAGACACGCCCATGCTTTCAGAAATGCATGGGCACTATTAATGAGAACAATGATGGCAACCACTTTCGACCACAGCAGCTGCATTAAACATCAGCTTCATTTTGGCCCATAGCACTATGTTTGCTTACTTGACTTCAAAACTGCATGGTCTCTAACTCTGATCACATTAGAGACTTATGCTTTATCCCCAGTAGCTGCTGGAAAGAAGTAGTTTTCTTTTGACTCTGTACAAATAGGCTCTCAGAAACACATTTTAAACACGCTGCATTGAAGGTGGTGGCAAGTCAAGTTCAAGCCAAAGCGTTTATGAACACGAAACGAAGTTATTCTAACAAAAGAGAAGCCATTATACGTCTTTAAAGGGGCCTTGCAACACTTTTTCAGCATAATCAAGAAATGCTACTAATCGGTAGTCGAGGCCCTCACAACACATGAGTCTTACATTATAGCGCAGCACGCTGCCTGGGATTTTGAAATTAAATTCTCGAAGACAGCTAGAATTCGCTCCCTCTTCTCACCAGAAATGATGCCGCATACCCTAATTACTGCACCATACACCCAAACTCCTAGGTCGTTGGCTGACTTGAGCACTGTGAGCCGCATATTTACCAATGCTTCTAAGGGATGCCGCAATGTGGCTGCACGCGCAATCACAAGTAAGTCACGCATTTGAAAAAAAAAAAAAAAAAGAGAAGTGCTTAAAAGGTCATGATTTTTGCTGAGAAAGGGTTGCATCATCTTCTCCCTTGGCATCCCCCTCACTGTGCAGCTTTCAGTATGCTCACTGGTACCAAAGAAGGCAGAAGGAGCTTAAAATGTGCGGAAATTACCTGTAACTCCGCTCCTACTTGATGGATTCTAAAAATGTTTGCGGCAGCCAATTCGTGAGCCAGTAAACTATTTTAATGAAGCCATAAGACGATCACCTAAAGAATGATGCAGGGTTTAAAAAAAAAATACCAGAAGCGAGCACAGAAGAAATGCTCATTTGGCGGCTACTTGGACACACCTGTGTTGCACTGCTCATCATCATCACCAGCCTGACTACGCCCACAGCAGGACAAAGGCTTCTCCCATGTTCCGCCAGTCAACTCGGTCCTGTGCTTCCTGCTGCCACTTCATACACGCAAACTCCCTAATCTCATCTGCCCACCTAACTTTCCGTTTCCCCCTTACCTGCTTGCCTTCTCTTGGAATCCAGTCTGAGATCCTTGACCACCAGCGGTTATCTTTCCTTCGCACTACGTGCCCTGCCCATGACCATTTCTTCTACTTGATTTCGACTATGATGTGCTTAACCCCAGTTTGTTCCCTGACCCACTCTGCTCTCTTCTTAACTCTTAAGGTTACACCTATAATTTTCCGTTTCATTGCTCGCTGCATCATCCTCAATTTAATCTCAACCATCTTTGTAAGCCTCCAGGTTTTTGCTCTGTAGGTCAGTGCCGGCAAGATACAGCTGTTATATACTTTTTTCTTGAGGGATAGTGGCAATCTACCAGTCATGATGTGAGAGTGCTTGTCAAATGTGCTCCGACCCATTCTTATTTTTCTAGTTACTTCAATCTCGTGGTTCGGCTCCGCAGTTATTACCTGTCCTAAGTAGACGTATTCTTTTATAACTTCAAGTGCACTATTATCTATTTCGAAGCGCTGTTTTCTTCAGAGGTTGTTGTACATTACTTTCGTTTTCTGCAGATTAATTTTTAAAGACATACCTTTCTGCTCTCCTTGTCTAATTCAGTAATCATGAGTTGCTATTCGTCCTCTGAGTTACTCAGCAATGCAATGTCATCGGCGAAGCGCAGGTTACTGAAGTACTCCTTATTGACTCTTATCCCTAACTCTTCCCGTTCTAGGCCTCTCAAAACCTCCTGTAAGCACCCAGTAAATAGCATTGGTGAGATTGTATCCCCCTGCCTTACACCCTTCTTGATTGGTATTCTGTCGCTTTCTTTATGGAGCACTATGGCGGCAAAAGATCCCCTGTATACCGTATTTACTCGATTCTACCGCGCCCTCGATTGTAACGCGCACCCGATTTCCACCGCGGAAAAAAAAAAATGTAAGACATCGATTGCAACGCGCACCCATTTTTCTCGCTGGCCCGCACGATCACACCACTCGAAAAAACGACTCCTTTCGGGAGCGTGTTCCATTTAAATATGAGGTACGGGCGAATCTTGTGCCCATCTGACGTGTAACAGAGAATTGCCGTCACTGTAGTTTTACCGTGGATCGATGTCAGCACGCGAACTTGCTTCGCCCCTTTCTTCTTGACAGTTGTGGTGCCAGGCATGTCGAAGTAAAGAGGCGTCTGATCGGCATTCCCGATTTGCCCAAGCAGGTAGCCAGCCGTTGTTGCGCCGCAAGTTTAGGACGAACCTCTCAAAACTGTGAAGCTTTTCATCGTATTTCACAAAACTTTTCGCATATGCATGTTCCCCTTCGGAGGGGAAAGCCTTTCCTCTTCATAAAGTTAGTTAGCCAGCACCTGCTCACTTTAAACTGGCTCCGCATTAGACCTTTTTCTAAGACTAATTGCATAGCCCGCACTTGGAGCAGTTCTGTCGTCACGGGCCGCTGTGCCGCTCGCTGCTCAAGCACATACTCGCCGAGCAGCTCTTTAATTTGCGGAAACCGACCTTGCTGTGGTTCACTGAAGCCTTTGCGTGAAGTTTTGCTGTCGACAATCTTCTGCTTTTGTTTCCGCCGGTCTCGCACGCACGTTTCGGGAACTCCGAACGACCGCGATGCGGCCCGATTTCCGTTCGTTTCTGCACACGCGATGACTTTTCTTTTAAAAGCAGCATCGTGGTGCACTCGAGTTTTTAAAGTCGGCCTTTCCACGCCGTTAATGCTGATGCACTACTAGATGACGAACTCCTCAGCACACGTACGAAGTGCCGCACATGGGAAACACATAGGCAGAAATGGCTGAAGCGCCATGCCGACGCACGTAGGGGGCGGCCATTTTGGTTTTGCCGATGGCAATAGATTGAGCGTAATTTTTTTTTTTTGTTCGTACTCAATTCTAACGCGCATGCGATTTATGAACTCGCTTAACCGGAAAAAAGGTGCGCGTTAGATTCAAGTAATTACGGTATTTCTTTCAGGATGTTCATATATGCTTTGTCAACACCCTGATTCCGCAGTGTCTGCATGACTGCCGATATTTCTATGGAATCAAATGCCTTCTCGTAATCTATGAAGACTATGTATAGTGATAGGCTGCATTCTGAGCATTTCTCTATTACCTGATTGATAGTATGAATGTGGTCGATTGTTGAGTAGCTTGTTTGAAATCCTGCTAGTTACTTTGATTGATTGAATTCTAATGTTGTCTTAATTCTGTTAGCAATCACCTTTGTAAATAGCTTGTATACGATGGAGAGCAAGCTGATCAGCCTGTAATTCTTCAAGTCCTTGTCATCTCCTTTCTTATGTATTAAGATGTTGTTAGCATTCTTCCAAGATGCTGGTACTCTTCCCGTCAGGAGACACCTTGTAAACAGGGTGGCTAATTTTTCTAACACAATCTGTCTTCTATATTTCAGCAGATATGATATTAGCTGATCCTCACCAGCAGCTTTGCCTTTTTACATGCTCTCCAAGGCTTTTCTGACTTCTTCTATCATTACTGGTGAGGCCGTCTGGGTTACTGCTAGTTCTTGTGTGAAGGTCGTGGTTATCCCTGCTACTGTGCAGCTCTCTGTAAAACTCCTCCACTATTTTAACTATTCTATTCATATTGGTAGTTATTTTGCCTTCCTTGTCCCTTAGTGCATAGCATCTGATTTTTGCCTATCTCAAGTTTCCTCTTCACGGCTTTGACGCTTCCTTCGTTCTTCAGAGCATGTTCAATTCCAAGCCACGATAACAAAGAAAATGGCCATTCTGTAGCACTGTATAGGTCTCATCTGTCCTTCTAACTTCACTGAGCTTATTATATACTGCTCACAATAGGAAACAAAGTCCTCAAATGAAAACTACAACTACACTGATTTCTCAAAAGACCTGATAACTGACCTGCATTCATGGAGCATCCACAGGTCTACACAAACGAAGGGTCGTGGACAACTGATACCATGGCAGGGGTTGTTGGATGGACATCCATCAATTAGGTTGCGCCATTCGACTACAGCTGCATATTCAGAACCACTCTCCATTGGTAAATAGTGTTGATCCAGCCGGATGTCATTCATACAGCCTGCCAAAACATGAAAAAAAAAAATGATGAGTTGATTGAAAAACAGGGTACCACCATTTTTCAGCTTTTGTTAATTCATTGCTAATAAAAGTTCTCAACATCAAAATGGCAGCGTCCTTCTTTTCGACTAAGTTAGACATGCCAAACTGCTTGTTAACCTTTTGAGGGTCAGTGATGATAGCACACGATGCTATCCATATGTATAGAGAATGCGTAAATTTTTCGAACTTTTTTTTTTTTGCCCAAGAAGTGATATCACCTAGTAGAAATGCAAAAAATGTTTTTTTATGATGCTACTGATCTTCGATTTCAATTCGCAAGTTTGTTTAGGCAAGCGCATTAACTCTTTCGTTACTGCGCTTATTCAAATCGATCACCGGTGACCAACACTTCTGGATTGTCTGTTTTGGCATGTTAAATTTGTTTCTCGTGCACCCAGAACTTTCTAGTGGTTAGTCCAGCCAATCAAGTTTCAGAACCAATTTGAATTTGCCCATTTTGGCAACATAGTGATTTCTGACAGACATTTGTGTGAAACAATGTTGTGCTTGTATTGTTGGAAAAGTGCACCAGACTGGCAAACTTGACAGAAGTGCATGCCCCTCATGATTATGCTACAGCAACATTGAACTTCTGTATTGAAAAGAACCTTTGCAAGCCAAATATTGAATTAAAGCATGAGCTTTGTAATTAGACAATGTTGAGTGGTAATAATTGCCATTTATTTATGCCAGCTATTCAACATAGAGAGGTGTTGCTACTAGTCAGAGAAATTTTGCTCTACGAAAGATATTTATGAAGGTCTGTCGCATGTTTAAAGTGTCAAGGTGGCCTTCTTTGAGTTTCTGGCAGCTTTTGTTATGCTCTCATCGTAATATTAGAGACAGGATCACATATAGTGTCACTAGTCGCTCCTATGACGTCGTCGTCACGCGCGCATGGGTACGCACTAGCGCTCCAAAACGCATGCACTGCTGAAACATGTCTAGCAACTCTACCTGAATTGAGTGAGGATGAGCTTAGAGTTCGAGCAAGACAGCACCTCAGCTTCAAGTTTAATGGCCACAATGTTTTCCGCCAGCCTGAGACATCCACAGTCATTCATAGGCTTGTTTTGTTTACATCATCAAGTTGTTTCCTCTGCCGCAAGTGCGTATAGCTTCTAACCTTTGTGCACAATCTAATAGGTACTCTGGTTACGTGCGAGGTCCACACTATGCTGAGCTGTGGTGTGCTGGCACCGGCTGCACAGCTTCTCCCAACAACAAGAAGGCCCCCGGAGCATATCTTGGCTCTGGCTACAGAGCAGTGCGAAACGTCTTAAAACTGTGTGCGATATTGTCCTTTTAATACGATATGTGCGAAAATTCAAAGAAATATGATAGGATGCATATATTGGAATGCCAACCTATGCGGAGTGAGTGCCTCATGGAAAGACGTCAGGCTAGATGAAGTAGCGAAGTTCATTGAACATCTCGTTTAATTGGACATCGCATTCAAAGAAGGATTATTTATATCACGGGCATCCATCTATATTAGAACACCTGGAGACTCTCATCGCAACACAACAAAAATTTACCAAGAAAAGTGTACGACTTCACTTGTGTCTCACCAAAAAAAAACATGCAATGCTACACTGCATGACACAAACAACGAAGCAGCACTTCTGTTCTGATTTTCCTTATCTATGTAAAGAGTAACAATTTGTGCAACATTTCTTATTTTTATACTGTTTATGTACATAATGTATATTCTGAATTTTCTTTGTTTTGAATTTTTTTGCATATATATAGTGTTTTTTAATGAACTGTTTGCCAGCCGGCAACCAAAAATACACAATGTTCGAATTTTTGATCATTCTAAAATATTTTTGTTGCTCTACAACATATATTCCTTTCAAAGAGCAGTTAGTTCATTGTGCCAGGTTTAATATACTGCAATGCTTGCTGGAGTACTTTTTAAACTGACAAAAACAATCTTCCCAAGATATATGAAAAACGACCATTTTTGTGCAATAACGAAAGAGTTAATTATTGCTCACACACCTGAGGCAGTGTGAGCCTCGCAATGGTAAGCTTAGTTTCCTCTCACAGGCAGTTTCCATTGGCTGCGCTTGGAAAAACTGGTGCCTATCTGGTGTTTAATCTCTAAAAAGGTTACGAGCTGTTCGTAGGTGGAATAGATTGTGATTCATCGTGACAATATACTACAAACAATACCAGCATATACAAATAATGTTGCCCATTTTTTCTCTTGAGAATTGCAAAGAATTATATCATCTCTGTGGAGATAACATAAAAGGTAATGAAGTAATTTTGACTGCTTTGAATTTCTCGACAAGCGCAGAACTATAAAAAATTTCTTGCATGTGCTCACATACCCAGTGAGGATAATATGGGCAAGTGTGCAAGTTTCTTTGCTGCGAGTAGGTCAAGTGAGGATTCCTTTCATTTTTCCTACTGCAAAAATTCCAAATCGCAGTTGGAATCATTGGATGTCACTGAGACGAGAAGTCCCAAACCAATTTGCACTATGAGATGGTTCCACTTGATATGATTGCTAAATAGCCAACAAAACACTACATATCAAGCTAATCTTATGCTGCACACAAAACTGGCACTTTCAGTTTCGGTTTTGTAGGTGATGGGTGGTACAACATTTTTGCTTGTATCTTTTGAAATAAATTGCATAGACGGAGCTTTATGCAGCAAAATTAAGGGCAATAAATTGCACATTTAACATAACAAAACACCAAAAAACAACGTTATGTGAAAATACTACTTTTTCCACTAGGCCTCATACCTTAAGATCAGCTTTGAAAATTCTTGGCGTGTTATTCGGAAATATTCAAATAGTATTAGATTCGTATTTCATTTGGTGTCATCACTATTCAGTTTTGTTGAATAATTCACTATCTGTACACCAATATTGTTTTTATTGAAGCAAGATACGCAGCTAAAGCAAATTCATTTCCCTCAGAGCACATGCTAGTAGCTCACCTTCTTGATAATCGTTGTCAACAACAGTCACACCAGGACCAACATACTGGACATCTCCACCTGCAATGACATTCTGCTTCTCAACCCACATGTGCTGGTGGGGACTTTGCCAATCCAAAAGCTCGTTGAAGCGCCGCCCACTGCCTCCATCTAGAGCCAGGCTGGCTGAAGCACCATAGCGCAGGGCACGCACTGTATGCCACTGGCCATCATTCACCCACACCCATGGAAGCCACAGCTCACGCTCTTCAGAGGAGCGACTTCGGTCGAGGTTGAATCGAAAGCGCAGCTTCTTGTCCCGGATCTAAACCAGTGAAGAGACAGAACGAGCTCCAGCAACCGTATAACGGACAGAAAACAATTCATAATACCTTAAATAAAAATAGCGTCTACAAGTAAGGCAAATGCAAACATGTAATCACCTCAAGAATGCAGTACTCCCGTCCATGTTTGCTTGTGATGCGGAAAAGCTCTCCGTGCTTTTGACGCGTACGAAACTGCAGTTGGATGTCAGTCTTGTACGGATGAGGATCAAATGGCAGTGCGTACTTGATGTAGCTGCTTTGTTGGAACATCTTGGACTGTGTTTCTGGTAGATCGAGATAGAGAGAGAGAGAGATTAAATTGTAGAAAAACAGATAGGACAGCCGGACCCATAATTTCCTCAAAAATAGGTACAGATCATAGCATAGATATAGAAATCGTAGATGGCAAGACAAAATCCTGCATACGAATCATACCCCTGACACACCAGCAAACTAAACTGGTTTAATGTAAACCCTAGCTTTCAAGCCCTATGGAAACTAGCTTTAACGCTGCCAAGCAGCATGCCTTCCTTCACGTTTCCAATAATCTAGCAAAGCACGTCTCTACTGTTGCTGACAAAACATTCTTTAAAGATTGTGTAACTATAACATTATTTCCGTATATGGTCTAGTATATGGTCCTATACATGTGCTGTTGAACGGTTGCATATATGGTTTTAAGCCTACAAATTAGTTTAGATAGAGATAGTATTTCCTTTTCTGCAACAGACCGACTGAAAAGAAGTTGCCTACCTGTATGCGTGTGTGTGTATATATATATATATATATATATATATATATATATATATAAAGATTGTGACCTAACTGTGAAAGCGACCTGCCTTAGGCCCCCGAAGGCATGATGAAGCGTCCATACACAAGGCACAGAACAGAGGAAAGCAGAGTTCCCTCAGCAGATGATGACGACGACCACTCATGATGATGAAAATGTGTGACGAAGGTAGATGTGGCTAATGAGTGCCCACACTAACTTCTCTCTCACGCGAAAGCAGTCATCCTGACCGCAGTTCTTGACCACAGTTCAAAGTGAAGAGCGCCTTGTGAAAGGCTTCATGTGGAATACGTGGCTTATTTCTGTTGCCTGGCAGCAGCGGTCCGCTATAAGAAGAACAAGTATGGGTATAAAAAAAACTTTATTTAGGTCCGTCGGGGCATGAACTAGCCCGTAGCGGGCCATCACACGATAATTGACTGGAGACGTTTGGTCGAAGACAGTGTAGGGGCCAATAAAGCGTAACTGAAACTTGTCGCACAGGCCAGGAGTGTGAAAGGGTGTAACAAGAAGGACTTCATTTCCAAAGCTGAAGGACACGGCATGATGAGAGGCATCATAGTCAAGCTTGTGAACCTGTTGCTTGGCTTCAATGTTGATGCGGGAAAACTGGCAGCAATGAAGCAGACGAGACACGTATTCTTCACTGGGTTTAACAGGCGCAGAGAAGAAAGAAACATCGAGGAAAGAAAAGGGGAAGCGACCGCGAATAATGTAGAATAGCGAGTAACCAGTTGTGCACCGTACAGAGGTATTGAACGCAAAAGTGACAAATGGCAAAATTGCGTCCCAGTTTCTGTGGTCCGATTCAATGTACATCGCTATCATGTATAACAGTGTGCGATGAAAGCACTCAGTCAGCCAGTTCATCTGAGTATGGTAACTAGAGCTTCTTTGTGGGTAGTGCCGCATGCCTTGAGCACTTCTTCGATGAGTAGTTGTGCACCGTACAGAGGTATTGAACGCAAAAGTGACAAATGGCAAAATTGCGTCCCAGTTTCTGTGGTCCGATTCAATGTACATCGCTATCATGTATGACAGTGTGCGATGAAAGCACTCAGTCAGCCAGTTCATCTGAGTATGGTAACTAGAGCTTCTTTGTGGGTAGTGCCGCATGCCTTGAGCACTTCTTCGATGAGTTCCGAGAGAGATACTTTTTCACGGTCGCTAAGGAGTACACGAGAAACATCGTGACGAAGGATTATTGCTGGAAGGATGAAGTCAGCAACTTCCGAAGCTGATTCAGAAGACAGGAAAGCTGTTTCGGCATAGCGTGTCAGTTGGTTGACAGCTATAACTATTCACTGATTGCCTGTGACAGTCATAGGAAGCGGATTGTAATGCCAACTACCTCAAATGATTACAAGGGACATGGGAGTGGTTGTAATTGCCTGCTTTGAGCTGATGTAGGGAGCTTGCGACGCTGATAAAGAGCACTCGAGGCAACATACTTCGCTACACTGGTGGACAAGTCCGGCCAGTAGTTGTGACATCTGATGCGGTTGTATGTTTTCAGGAAGCCCAGATGTCCAGCACTCATGTTGTCGTGATATGCCTTGAGGACTTTCTACCTTGAGGACTTTCTACCTCGCTCCCGAAGAGAGCGAGGTAGAACGAGCACTCAGCGTTGACCATCTGGGTGGTAGATATGGCAGTACAGGACGCAGTTGTCGAGCTTGAATTGCGTCAGCTGTCGGCAAAGAGAGGCGTTAGGGGGCCAAGAAGTCCCGTCAAGACAGTCCATGAGGCAGACCTGAGCGCGGAGCTCCAGGAGGTAGAGGACGGAAGATAGCTGAGCACCCTTCACTACTTGAGGCCTAATGAAGGTCACTTTCACTGTTGCGTCACAAAACACACGCACGCACGTGCGCACGCACACACACATGCACACACACACACGCACGCACGCACACACACACACACACACACACACACACACACACACACACACACACAGAGTAAACTTTTAAACGGAACTCAAAGGGGATCCATAAAACTGTTCCATTTATCAGAAGTTTCATTTAAGCAGAGTAGACTTACTTATGGAATCAAAACTTTTATTCAAATTGCACAAACCTCACCTTACTCATGAGAATGAGGAGAAAAAAAAGGAGTGAATAGTTGTTTGTTTGGCAAGCTTGAATTGTTTTTTCGCAGGGTACGCACCCATGCCTGACAAACTAGCCAGAAATTCTGGACAAGCCTCATGCTGAAAATAGCGCTGCAAAAGTTCAACAGCCTCTTCAGCTGATCGGTCTGATGGCACCACTGCACTGGCAATATTGTCATCACAATTTTTGCTGGAAGGTTGATCATCTTGCACTTCGACAATTATTTTCTCGACAGTCCCCTCATGACAGGTACAAACATTTTCATCAATTGATTTGTAGTTCTGCAGCGTAAAAGGGGCAGAAGGCACGACCTCACTGAATACTGCTTCAATGTCGGCATCAGCAGGGCTCTCTTCTTTATCAGGTACTGGTTCTTGCACTTGAAAGCCAGCATGATGAAAGCATCTGTGTATTGTTGCCTTCACTTGCTTCCAGGCATGAGCTAAAATGTGGATGGCTGCCAATAATTCTATGCTGTAGCGTTTTCCGCTGTCTGCACAAAGCATTCAATGAAGCAATTGTGTGCGGTAATGAACTTTAATCTTCTGAATAACCCCTTGATTCATTAGCTGGATCACTGCCGTTGCATTGGCTGGCAAGAACTCCAGAGAGATGGCTTGGGGTCTTTCAACCTGACCGTGGGCTGGGCAATGATCCATGATTAAGACAATCTTCCTGCCTTGCCTCGTAAATCTTGTGTCTTCCTCCCAAAGCCAGTTTTCGAAAATAGCCATGGTCATCCACACTCTTCCATTCCCATGGTACACAACGAAAAGGCGTCGAACACCTTTGAAACAATGTGGGTGCCTTAATTTTCCTATTACAACAGCTTCAATTTCTCATCTCCTGCCAGGTTTGCACCCACCAGCACAGTGATGCGATCTTTACTGTGTTTTCCTCCACTATAGGCTTCGCCTTTGAAGATGAGCGTCTTTGATGGAAGTGCCTTATAAAAAAGACCCATCTCGTGGACGGTGAAGACGTCTTGTGGCTCAAAGCTCATCAAAATTTCCTTAAGCCGCCCCTGTTGCCAGTCGGTGCAATGTCCCTGTTGACTGCACCACTCTCACCTGAGATTGCTTTGAAGACTAGGCAATGGCGCGTTTTGAAGCGGTTGAGCCATCCGTCGCTTAGGACAAAGTTCTCAACACCCATTTGCAAGGCAATCTCTCGAGCTTTCTGCTCGAGAATTGGTCCGCTTATGGGCAAATTGGAACTCCGTGCACGCCTGAACCACAGAAAAAGAACTTTTTCTAGTTGTTCATAAGGCGTCGTCCGCATCCATATCTTAGATGTAAAGGTCCCGTTCTTTACAGCACCTTCAATCTTTTCTCTGTTTTTGCAGATTCGTGACAGTGTATTTCGGGATGTCGAATTTTTTCGCCACCTCCTTCTTGGGCAGGCCGCTTCGATCGAGCTCCTGAAGAATTCGCAGCTTTTTTTCAAGTGAGAGTGCATGGTGCGGCCGCTTCCTTTCCGTAGGGCTGAAGTAACACCGTGATCCACTGCACTTAGCCGCACAAATAGGCCTAACACACAACTGACTCGCCGAATCGGCTCCCACAGCCACAAGTGAAAATGGCTACCGGATTGGCTTGTCTCGAACTGTTGCCATGATTGTGAAACTACTTTTGCCCTGAACGAGTCTATGCTGTGTTTAGAGTTTGTGCCGTTTAACCGTAAGTGACCAATAAGCACTGTTTCGATTAACCGATGAATTTTACTGCGCAAAACATAGAAATCCGGCCATACGAGCCCGTTTAGTTCCGTTAATAAGGCATTTTCATTTAAGCGAGTTTCGTTTATTGGGAGTCCACTGTGTGTGTGTGTGTGTGTATGTGTGTGTGTGTGTGCGTGCGCGTGTGCATGCATGTTGCGAGAACGCGGGATCGACAAGCACACAAAGCGCTTCAAACAAAAACAATGCTTTATCGATTGCAGAGGAAAAGAATGCAACAACTTCTTCATCTTTTGCCCTCTGCCAAGGGCACTCGCGCTACTTCGTTATCGCCACCACTGGCACATACGCACGGCATTATTCCCCCTTTAAACAAAAAACATTGCCCCAATGTTAAACGATCGAGAAGGAAGGTGAAACCAAAACTGCACAGTTAGTCACTGAAAGTAAGGCTTCATCCGAAGCACGTGGACAATTTCTGGTGAATGTCTGCGGCGTTTTGAACACTGCAGGCCGTCTGAAACTACCTCGTAGTTGACGTCACTGATGCGTCGCAGAACCTTGTAGGGTCCGAAGTATCTTCGCAACAGCTTTTCGGAGAGCACAGGCTGACGAATAGGTGTCCAGACCCATACTTTGTCGTCCACGTTGTATATGACGGGTCTGTGCCGGAGGTTGTAATGTTTGGCATCGTCGTCTTGTTGTTTGGTGATTCGCAACCTGGCAGGTTGTCTGGCTTCTTCTGCTAGCTAAGTAAACTCCTCGGCGTCCGTCTCAATATACATATATTGTAACGAACAAATACAACGCGGAAAGCTAAAACAACTATTTATTTATGGCGAACTTGTGCCCGTCAACTATATACACAAGTCCTGAGCTTGCTAGTGAAAAACCTGATCAACGTCTTCTTTATGCGTCTCGCCGCGTGCCGCTCCTTCGAAAAACTACCAGCCTTCTTTTTCCAGCGCGTAGTGTGGCGACACGCGCAGCCAGCGTTGCATGGAGTGTTTAGCTTGGCACGTTTGGCTTGTCAGTTGGTGTAGCAGAATTCGTAAGAGCGAAAGCTGCACAAGACTTCAGTAGGTGCCTAACAACACGCGACAATATATATATATATATATATATATATATATATATATATATATATATATATATATCGTTTGCCTCCGCTGCACGCTCGAGGCACTCTAACGCAGCGCCTCCAGAATACCATTCACCAATTTTCTTGCGCAAAGCATCACATAAATGTTTTGTTCAGTCTCTCCACACAAGACTATCGTCTTTTGACGACATTTGCAGAATAAATGCAGATACAGGGCCATTTTTTTCTGGAATGTTTTCTTGCTTGCGTTATATATATATATATATATATATATATATATATATATATATATATATATAGATGAAGGAACTTATCGGTGTTTGATCCGATATTGAAAAGCAGTTTTTTTGTGAAATGTGTGTACTCGGTTTTATTAATAAATTTCACTATTCAAACACCCCTAGTACGAATTTAAAGGCTAAGAGGAAAAGAAAATTCAATAAGAGCATATCTAGCACAGACATTTGCACTTACCCCGGTCACAATTTGGCCCATGCCAGCCAGGGTCACAAACACATTCTGCTCCTTTGTAGGTACCCAGGCAGTGGCCATGACCACAGGACTGGTGAAGTAGTGCTGCCTCACTGCACGAGCTCTCAGCAGGAGGACAGCCAGTCACACTGTTGTATGAGCTTCCAGGAGAGCCAAGGTCATACATCTGGATATAAATAAAAAGAAGGCACCAGCTATGACAATGAATGCATCACTGCATTCCCTACCAAATGGGGAAACGATCTGTTTTGTAGGATACACAAAGCTTTTTATTTTCTTTCTTTACTGAAGGAGCTGCTGCATTCAACTTACACAAGATATGAAAAGGAAGCATAACAAATATATTTAACAGGCCATATTTTTTAACGCAATAGTGTTAGAAAGCTCGTGTTGCGGAAGTTCCGCCATTAGCGTTGGCACCGTTGGGTGTGAGCGGAAAATCATCTGTGAGAGAAAAATCGAAAAATAAACAAGTAAAATGACTAAAATTTTCGGTCCCATTGAGGATCGAACCCGTGCTGTTCGCGTGGAAAGCAGGTGTTCTACCACAAAGCCACGATGTTACTCTTGCAGCTCTTCAGGAAAAAACACAACATAAATGCCATGTAGTGGAAGAAGTCTCCTTAATGCATTTTGTTCGACAGGTGTCAAGACGAAAATGAGCCCATTTGGCGATTTGTAGGCGCACTTGGGAGGTCATCAAACTACGTCGAAAAAAGCCGGGATAGTGCGACACACACAGGAACTTTCAAACAGCTCTAAAAATGGACAACTATGTCCATCCAGCGGAAAACATATCATGCCTTTTCAGAGGTGCTGATCAAGCAGACAGAAAACGCTAGATGATGTGCTGCCATATGTGAGGCATTGTGACTCTCTTTATTGCCTTCGAGATAGCGAGCGCGCGGCGTGTACCTTGGAGGCCCTATAACTCTTGCTTTAGATAAAAAAACCTGCCTGTACCATTAGTGCGCGCACTAGTACAAAATACTGTGTGCGCGTATGTGAGTGTAACAAAACATAATAGGCATGCACTTAGCGGTTGAAGGGCGCACTAGGGACAGAATTTCGCTATCGCGTTCAACTCTTAAAGGCGAAGCTTAAGGGTGCACCATTTTTTTTATTGATGAATTCTATGAAGAATTTTATGAAGTAACAAAAAAAAAGAGCTTGGAATTATTCGAAGTAATCAGGGCTGGCTGTTTGCTGTGCCGGCTAGTTTGCAGCTCCAAGGGTTATATTTTCCAGCAATGCCTCGTCCCAATTTTTCTGCGAATACAAGGGAACGGCAGGCCTTGCTGCTGCCACTGGGGAAGAAAAAAAAAAAAAGCGTGATCGACTCAAATGCACACGTGCGAAAAACAAGATGTCTTCACTGCAAAAAAGTAGCGACATCCAGACAGACTGTCGCCTGGTCCTCACTCCGCGTCAGCACGCCATGTGACTACTTGCCCATTCTTTATAGTAAAATAAAGAATTTATTAATGGCCATAGTGATTAAATTCACAGCGTGTTTCGGCTGCAAAACATGATTATTGAAGCTTTTCAATCGCATTTTGCGAAGTAGGCATTACAAGCAAAAACTCCGCCAGCAGTGCAACTGTATAAATTCTGGAGTAACCTGCAATTAGAGGTTCGCATACATCGCAAATACCAACAAACTGTCCTTTATTAATTAGTTTTTTTATTCCCAGAAAGAATGATTGATTGATATGTGGGGTTTAATGTCCCAAACCACCATATGATTATGAGAGACGCCGTAGTGGAGGGCTCCAGAAATTTTGATCACCTGGGGTTCTTTAACGTGCACCCGAATCCCAGAAATAATGGGTAAGTCATGAGATGAACTGACATTGCGAGAAGCATACTATATGCTGCCTGCGCATCACTGTTGTGTTGCAGTGAAGCATGTTTTGTTTTACACAGGCACACATTTTGGATAACCATGAGACTGTCCCGAGGAAGCGAACGCGGCAAAACTCACGGAAATTTCTCTTGCTTCATCCCCAAAGTGGCCGAAAAACCACGCCGCGAGACCGACGCAAAAAAAATCAGTTCGGAAGCAATTTTTTTCACCACACGATAGCAAATCATCTTTTTGCTTCATGGCTTTGGCTACACCAGCTACCCTAGCTCTCACACCACGTGATGAAAACAGGCAGAAGAAAATTCAACATGGCAACAAAGGCATTGCCGGAGGCTGGCGTTGGCGCAATCGCAAACTACCCGCGCAGCACGACAAAGCTTGTGGCCTTGACAAGGACGCGATCATTGAGAGCCTGGTTTGGATTACGATCGCTGCGAACACTGGAAGTAGAAGACGGTACAGCAGCAGAGAGTCAGCATGCCCTAACGTGTGTTGCTCTAACGTGTCTCTGTTGCCGCTGCTGCCAGTGCGTCAGCTCATGCCTTTCTGCTGGCGCATCTCCGAAACAACGCTCGTACAGGAGTAAACTGTTTATTTTCAGTACTTTGTATGCATAGTTAGAACTCTGTCTGAATTTCGATGCTGAGAAAACGGGCAAAATGAAATGAATTCCCAAGCGATGAAAGCAGTGGCGTGTATACGAGGGACTGAACGAATGTGAACATTTTTGACGGGTGCGGACATGGATTTGCGGTTGCTTTCGCATTTTCTCTTGAACTGAATTCTCCAAGACTGATTCATGTCAACTTTGTGGCAGATTTTTCAAAAGCAAGAAGTAGTTGACCCCAATAAAACTCTTGTTGTTAATTTTCATAATCAGCTTTAACTTGTTTTTGGTTCGTGCGAATTCGGGGTGATACGAATATTTTGAGTGCTCCCTTCGAGCTTGTATCATAGAGATTCTACCGAACTATATCAGCGTACTTGACAGGACAGAGCAGATACCAAATTTACTCGCGTAATGAACGCACTCTCATAATAAACACACCCCCAACTTCAGCCATCAAAATTTGGATTTTTTTTCCCCTGCGTATAAACGCACCCCCTACATTCATCCGCTGCAGTCCCGCTAACCGACACGTTGTCAGAGAGTCAACGGTCGGACAATTGCGTTGTCAGAGAGTTAACGGTCGGTTATAAAAGCTTTCAGTTAGAGCTTTGCATCCAATGTCTCTCTTAACGCACCTCTGCGGTGCAGCAAACGTTGGCCTTATACATCTCTGACTGCACCATAATAGAAGAGACTCTGACTGTGGTGTTCTTAGAACTTCGACAGCGACATGGGTGATTGACTGATTGATTGATATGTGGGGTTTAACGTCCCAAAACCACCATACGATTATGAGAGACACCGTAGTGGAGGGCTCTGGAAATTTCGACCACCCGAGGTTCTTTAACCTGCACCTAAATCTGAGCACACAGGCCTACAGCATTTCCACCTTGTTGTGTTTGGTGGGCCACACTTTTGCCGCGGCCGCCAGAAAGGAAGAAAGGCAGCCGCCTCGTCATTTTGTGGAGATAAGGAGCAGCACCAAGACGCCCTGCTGTTTCCATACATATGCTGGGCGCAGCGTGGCTAAAATCGCTCTACAGAGCACCGCAGTCCTTCGGGCCCACGCAAAGATGCGACACGTGGCGTCTTCGTGCCTTGGTAAAATCCACAATGCCGAGCTTCCGCCGATTACGGATGTCAGACCATCATACTGTGCGTCTCTGACAGATGAGCCGCCGACAATCAAATCAGCACCAGATGTCCAGGCATGGCCCCTCGGTGGCGCCTAGACCGCGACTGCTGTTCGACAAAGCATGGGTGGTCGGCCTGAGCGGCGAGATGAAAGACTCGTTTCACCCCGCTCAAGCAAGATGCGCTGAAGGAGGCAGCATCGCCGGGACCATACACGTGTTTGGTTTGTGTATGTGTGTTTATTGGGGGTGGTGCCGGCATAATGACACATGTGTGCTGCGGGACATGTTATTGGACAGAGCCGTATAGACCTGTTTTCTGATCTAGGTATCTGGGGAAATAAGACTATTTAATGAGCTCTCACGGGCTGCTTAGGGTGGTTCACGGAGCTCCTTCAAGATTGCTGATATGTGGAGTTTAACGTCCCAAAACCACCATATAATTATGAGAGACACCGTAGTCGAGGGCTCCGGAAATTTCGACCACCTGGGGTTTTTTAATGTGCACCTAAATCTCAGCACACGGGTCTACAACATTTCTGCCTCCATCGGAAATGCAGCCGCCGCAGCCGGCGAACCCGCGACCTGCGGGTCAGGAGCCGAGTACCTTAGCCACTAGACCCCCGCGGCGGGGCGGACCTTGTTCAAGAGACGGCCTTTTTAAATGTAGAGCTCTCAATATAGAGCTTCGGGCCAGAGAGCTCGTGCCATGTAAATAATGTAAATAAACCCTCTCTACGAAGTTCCGCCTCCTCCTGCCTCGACATCTTGTTCTCGGATCTCCGGTGCCGCGAGCCTCGGTCGCAATAACTGGATGGCAGCGGTGGGATGAGACTCTGCGACGGAAAGCGACATGGACCGGAGGTCAGCCGAAAGCCCTAGCCCTGGAATTCGGCGGGATCGACGCAGCGCACCACGACCGCACATATTCGAGTCAGTGCCTGTCTTTGTGCTTGAGATGTATCGAGTCTTTTAGCTTCATCATCATCATCATCAGCCTGACTACGTCCACTGCAGGACAAAGGCCTCTTCCATGTTCCGCCAGTTAACCCGGTCCTGTGCTTGCTGCTGCCAATTTATACCCGCAAACTTTTTAATCTCATCTGCCCACCTAACCTTCTGTCTCCCCCTAACCCGCTTGCCTTCTCTGGGAATCCAGTTAGTTGCCCTTGATGGCCAGCGGTTATCATGTCTACACGCTACATGCCCGGCCGATGTCAATTTCCTCTTCTTGATTTCAGCTATGATATACTTAACCCCCGTTTGTTCCCTAATCCACTCTGCTCTCTTCTTGTCTCTTAAGGTTTCACCTACCATTTTTCTTTCCATTGCTCGCTGCGTCGTCATCAATTTAAGCTGAACCCTCTTTGTAAGTCTCCAGGTTTCTGCTCCATATCTAAGTACTGGCAAGATACAGCTGTTATATACCTTCCTCTTGAGGGATAGTGGCAATCTACCTGTCATAATTTGAGAGTGCTTGCCAAATGTGCTCCACCCCATTCTTATTCTTCTAGTTACTTCAATCTCGTGGTTTGGCTCCGCGGTTATTACCTGCC